TTTTAAAAATAATCTATTTTAGTTATTATTTTTCTCAGTAGATGTCACTACTATACCAGGGCTTCAGTTTATAAGCAAAAATTATTCAAAATAGGATCACAAAAATGATATCCATGTATCTCGCATTTTACAATATTTTAAACATTTTGGTATACAATTTAGGATATGCATGATTCTTTTTAATATTCAAAGGTATTTTATTTTCAAAAATCTTAATTGGATTCAATATTTTATAGCATTAATTTTGCAGTTGAAATAAGTGGGTTAAAATTTGTCCCACCACACACTTGAATTTCCGCTCAATAGATGGCAGCACTCACGATTATTTTTTTCTTTTCTTTTTGCATCTACTTTTTTCGTGATTGCGCGCGCTTTTACATCCGTTATATGCTCTGATGTGCTAAAATGTCTAGAAAATTTAACAACACAGGAAGCTTTGGATCTTTTTGCTGAATTGCCATCAGATTGCGACTCAAATGCTTCAGATGTCAGTTCTGATTCAGATGAAATTGAAATCCAAGAGAGAATAAATGAGGTTGAAGTTATTGCTGAAGAAGAAAGGAAAGTATTTATAATTTGTTTCGCTTTTTAAAGACACAGACCTATCTATGCGTGTGGCTGCCATCTATGCATGTGGCACTGTAAATATGAATCGGAAGTATCTACCCACAAATTTATGTCAAGAAAATATATAGACTTTTCAGTTAGAGATGATTCAATTTATTGCATAAAATGGAAGGATAAAAGATCCGTTTCTATCCTGTCTTGCTTGGAAAAGGCAACTCAAATGAAAGAAATTAATAGAAAAGAACGAGATGGAAAGACAAAAAAAGTACTGCGTCCAAACAGCATTATTTTATGCAATAAGAACATGGGATATGTCGACTGATTGAGCAACTGAAAGGACTATATGAAATAGACCGCAAAAGCAAGAAATGGTGGCACATGATTTTTTTTTTTTTTTTTTTTTTTTTTTTTTTTTTTTTTTTTACTTTTTAGAGGAGAGTATAGTAAACGCATTTATTCTATTTAAGTTTGTTCGCGAACTCGATCATGATGTGTAAACACAATGAAAGATTTTCTTCTCTCAGTTATAGAAGGTCTAATGGCACTTGCAGGCAGAAAGAAGAGCAGAAAAGAAAACTGAAATCCCCAGTTCAAATAAAAACTAAAAACCCGTTCGTACAACCAGAAAAGAGACTAAAAAGTATACGTCACATGCCAAAGTGAACGAGCAGGAGAAAGATGTGCATATCGCAGCACATCGAAAGAAGAACGACGAACATTTTGGATATGTGAAACATGTGAAGTGCCTCTATGCTTACAAAAGAATGAAACAACATGTTTTTCAAAGTTTTATGAAAAATGACTGTTTTTCAGTTTTAATCATATATAAATGTTTTTGAATCAAGTGCCAATTTCAATATTTTATTTAGTATCATTTGTACGTGTATCAAATTTTAATCTTAAAATAATATTCAAGAAAATATTTTCTTTTGTTCTTAAAATTTAAAAATATTAAATATATATATGCAAAATGTGCATATTCAAAATTTTACAAGTCATGCATATATGCAATAAGTACAAAATGCATTTTAGTGTGTTTATTATGAATATTTTAGAATGCACGCTTTATTTTGTTTATTCATTCCACATATGATTTTTTTTCCCTGCTATACACCAATACGCTATAAGACATGTGCTAGTTGCATGGTGGGACAAATGGTATCCCACCTTCCCCCGTAAAAAATAAAAGCGCAGAATTTTTTTCAAGCCTTAAAGGCACTTAAGTAAGTCCATCTGACTTATTCTAAGGCATTTTTTTAAAGATTAAAATATATTTTAAATATGCGTGTCGCAAAGGGTTAAACAGAGTGGGAACATTTCATTCTATTTTCATACCGCGATTTTTATATGTTTCTCTTCTGCGGCATTTGAATAGTATAGCAATGTAAACATTAGGTGATTCTTAGCTGAAGGAAAGATTTTATCACGGTTTAAGAGAAAGAACTGCAGATATTCATAAAATTTGCATTCCAGCTTCGTTGCTTTTGACCAATCTACGAGAGGCGTCTAGCAACTTGGGACTGGGATGCGTTTGCAAGATGTCTGCATCCTCAAGTTATCATTTTGAGGATGCAGACATCTTGCAAGCTTATTAATATACTCTAGAGAACGTGACGTATTAAGGTAACAACAAAACCAAGTATTAAAAGAACACATGTTATCCTTGTAATGCCAACCGTTTGCATTACCACTTTTTTTATATTTGGTGAATCAGGCATCGAGCATATTTTAAAATTGAGAAATTTGGCCTTCTGGTTAGTCGAAATTTCATTGCTACAGGAATATAGTCACTTTACTTAACCTATTCCGCCAAACTAAGTTAATGGCACTACAGGGTTAGGAAGTCATCCTAGTCATTGCTAGCAATCTGACGGTTAGGCCGCCTTCCTACATTTTATATTAATCTCTAGTTTCTTGGACATAATTATTTTAATTCACTTGCTTCATTATCTCTAAGATGCCCTTGTTGCAGTAATAGTCCGTAAACAGTCTGTTCACAGGATATGTGATGTAGTCGGAAGGAAAGAACTGCTGTCGAAGTTGCTCCGTCAGAAGGCAGGAGAGCAGGTAATGAAGTGCGTCCGCGTCTTCCCCGCGAAAACAGTTGACGTCCCGTCTGAGGAATCGTCTGTAATACGCTGGGAATTTCCTGTGGATGGTACAGGCTTGGAGGAAGAGTCGGTTGCATTTGAGCCTTTTGAGAGAAGGTATTGGGAATATGTTGTAAGTAAATCTTCCTGTCTCTTCTTCCTGCCACCGTGATGACCATGTCTCTTGAAATGCTGTCTTGAGGAGCCTTTTTGCAACTTCTGCGGAAAGCAGAACTTCCTTGTCAATTTCTGGTTTGAGAGCTGCAGTCTTAGCTAGTTCATCCGCTCGTTCGTTGCCTTTCTGCCCGGTATGTCCTTTTATCCAGTTGATCTTTAAAGGTATGGAAGAGCCTAACGTCAAGAAGATCTCTCTAAGTGCTGCCGTGGGCGGATGTTTTGGAGGAATGGAATTCAGCGCATTCAGAACGCTCATGCTATCTGTGAAGAATGAAGTGTGAGCTGCTGGTTGCGTACCTAACCATAGGGACTCGGCCTGGAAGACTGAAGCATGATTGCTTAGACGGAATTGTGCTTGATAAATTTCTTTATTGTTCGAAAAGACCGTGAACGCTGCCCCTACTCGTCCTGAAATTTTTGAACCGTCAGAAAAAATCTCTCTTTGTTGTCCTGAGGGTGGCGATTTGCACCAGGAAAGGATGGGTAGATCTCCTGGGTGTAAGTCAGGGGATCTTGGAAGCTTTTGTATGCTGACATAGGATAGATGTTAATCTTCTTTAGTGTAAAGGTCCTCTTTGTAATGTAGAAGTCGATAGACTGATCTTTCTAATTCTGCTTTTAGGTCGAGTGGGACCGTGCCAGCTAAAACCTGAAGTGCTGCGGTTGACGTGGTGCTATACGCACTGGTGATTTTTAACAGGATTACTCGTTGTATTTGATGCAGTTTTTGACATATTCTTGCTGTGCCATTCATCCAGACTGGGCAGCCGTAGAGGATCATGCGTTCAATTGCATTAAGATATAGATGTTTTAACAGGTGCCCCTTTTGGCTCCACTTGTCTATGATTATCCTGTTTAGTTTATTGATGATTCGATGCGTCTTATCTCGGACTTCCGTAAGATGTGATACCCACGTGAGCTTCTTATCAAGCGTGAATCCGAGGTATTTAATGGTATCTTGGTGTCGTAGTGGATGCTCTTCCCACTTTATGCGTGGTGGATTCGCCTCTATTTTTGAACCTTTTGGAAAGACTATCATCTGTGTCTTTTCAATACTGAAAAACAGTTTGTTCTCTTGACTCCATTTTGTAAGCAATGTGAGTGCTGCGTCTGCTTTACGCTCTATTGTTGTCCTATTGCCTCCGTCTATTATGAGTATAATATCGTCGGCATAAGCTTGTATCTTGGCATTGTCTCCAAATTTGATGTTCAGCGCTGAGTCTGCAATTATGTTCCATAGGATGGGTTCGATATTAAACACCTGTGGGGCTCCTTTGTGGTAATTCATCGTGATATTTAAGCCGTCTCTTTTGTAGTCACTTGACGTTTTGTAAGGTAGCTTGTTATCAGTTGGTAAAGATTCTTTGGACATCGCAGGTCTTTTAGTTTTGTTTTGAGCGCTGGCAACCATAATTTATTGAATGCGGAAGCAACGTCAAGCGATATTATACACATATGGAGGTTATTTTGTCTGTTATTTAAGATGATGTCTTGAACACGGTTGAGGGCGTCTGTGGTGCTCCGCCCTTTAGTAAACCCGAATTGGGTGGGGTTTAGTAGTTTGTTTTGGACCAGGTAATATGTTAATCTCTGCGTAAGCATCTTGTCAAGGACCTTGCAACACGCTCAAGGTCTGTAAGAACTGGGCATGGACTATGTTTTCCCTCTTTCTGGAACAATACTAGCTCTGCGTTTTTCCATTCCTTTGGAAAATAACCTAATTCAAGGCACTTGCTAAAGAGTGTTAGAATTTGTTTGTCGTCCGCGAGCCTAAGCTCTTCAATGATTTCAATCGTGAAGCCATCCAGCCCAGGAGCTTTACCTCGGCGTGTTGAGTTTATCGTACGTTCCATTTCTTCGAGTGTGAATGGCTGATCGTCTTCCGAGTTTGGAATCTCGGTTGATTGGGCACGAATATCTGCGTGATATGTAGAGTCCTCGTTGGGGGTCGTCTTCTGGAAAATGGAACGTCATGATTTCTCTAATTGTATCCTCAATTGTGCTCGTCATTGTGCCATCTTCTTTTTGAACTGAACCTATCTGTAATGGATCCATGCTCTTCGCTTTAGCTAGATCGAAGTATGTTCCAAACGGAGAGCTGACAGTGATTTTGTTCCATGTCATGTCCCATGCTTTTTTCTTTTATTTATACATCTTTTGCCGGTACTATGCACGTACCCTTTGGTAAAGCAGCCTGTTATGTGTTCTTTCCTCTCCAGTTGCTTTTTGGAATCTTTTCCTTGTTGCTCTAACCTTTTCCCTGAGAATAGTGAGATCTTTTGTCCACCATGGACAGTTGCGCGATTTTGGTTTCGAGTTATGTGAGAGAACTGTTCTTTGATAGATCTCGTGAAGACTAGTGGTACCTTCTCTTACATATTTATCGATTTCTTCGATAGTTGTCAGATTTCTAGGGTCAGCTAGAGATTTTGAGACATACCTTTTGAAACTTAGCCAGTCGGTATGTCGTACATTGATTTTCGATCTTCTCCATGTTGGGTAATGAATGCTGGAGACATCAAAATAGATATTATTATGATCGCTATTGTTTGCTTCGTCCGTTACCTTCGAATTATCGATCCGGATTCTGAGTCTTTTTATGATAAGTGTGAGGTCAATCCAGCTGTTGCCACTTACTCCTGCGAAGGTTGGCGTATCCCCTATCTCGTTGACAATCGATAGTCCAGTGCTGGCAATGAATTCGCATACTTTGAGGCCTCGTGTGTCCGTATTATGTGAGCCCCATAGGAGACTTTTGGCATTGAAATCTCCGGTAATTATTGTAGTCATGTTGTTATTGTCCTGCATAAACCTTTCTAGGGTTGTCAGGATTGGTGCGTCTTGCGATGGAGGACAATATACCGTGATTAGTATAAATCTTAAGTCACTGCCTATTGCAAGCGCTATAATCTCCGGAGAGCTGAAAAGTTCCAGAACTGGGAGATTTGAGTCCGCTATAACTACTGCAGTTTTTGCGTCTGTTTGAGAGTAGAACTTCCTATATTTTGTGGGGAATCCGTACAGTTTGTTCTGTACTGTGTACGGTTCCTGGATAGATGCTACTTTGAATTTGTCGTTCTGTTCAAAATTTATCTTTAAGTTGTCTGTTGCACTCCTGGAGTGCTTAAGATTAATCTGGATTATTTGGATACTATCCATAATATGTTCGTTGTTTTAGTCGTTCGAGCTCTTTTAGGTAGCATGGGCATTTCTTATCTCGGTTATCATGTTGGGCATCGAGGCCTGTATTATATCGTTTATTCACCTTTGTGCAGTTGACACAGCTGACTGTCTTTTGGTCACAATTGGTCTTCTCGTGGTCTGTGGAGCCGCATCCGGCACAGACTTTATCTTCCTTGCAATATTTCGCTGGGTGGTTATACCCAAGGCATTTGACACATTGCGAAACCTTTATAAACTCTCTTACGTTGTTTCTTGACCATTGTATGTTCTACTTCCTCGTTTTCATAAGGATCTTGGAAGCTACTGGATCTATAGATAGAATCCAGTGCTGTCCAAAGCAGGCCTTCATGGCGAACAGAACCTCTAATTCACTTTCTGCTAGGTCGGTGTTCTATGTTTTAATGAAGTTTACTATCTCGTCTTTATTAATGTTCTCGTTGACATTAAAGACTATTATTCCGGGGTTTCTTTTTGTGGATGTTTCGTCTCCACTACGTTCTTCAGCTTCCGATTTTCATTTATGGCCTCTTTAAGTATTGCTAATTCTTGCTTTTTCGTAACTTATACTAGGAGCCCTCCTTTGTTGACTCTCTTTATATTCTTGACGCCTACTTTGAGTTTCCCTGGATCTAGGTACTTCACCAGATTCTCCTTTATCTCGTCGGATGTACTACCCTCAGTCTTAGGATAGACTTGTAATACATGCTCTGTCTCTTGCTGTGATCTTGATTGTGATCGTCTAGATCTAGAACTACTTTTGGATGGCCGTATGCAGAAGATCTGGCACCTTCTGCATAAGACAGCTTTTGAGTGGCGAATATTCCTTGGATGCATGTTTCTATATTCTTAGTTTGTTCAATTTGTCCTTCCAAATTGGCAATTTTGTAACTCTGCCTCGAGACTATTCTTAACGTATGGTCAAAGAAACCTCGTATCTTTTTGTTTGCTTTTTTGGAAATGTCGTCTCTATTTAAACATCCAATTAGATTAGTATAGCACTCTGAAGCCTTGTGGACTGCTCTGTTTCTGTGTCTTATCTATTATTGGAGCACTGGCCGACTGCGTCTCATTGTCGGGGCGTTGCCCCTTAGGCTCTTTATTTTTTGGACGAACCGTCTCACTTTGTGTTTTAGATAGTTCCAAAATAATTGATAAGCAAAAATTAAAATTTTCTGACGGAAATTAAACAAATCAGCCAACGTGCAGGAAGACTTAAATTTTGGTGCACCAGAAATGTCGGGCTCACCTTTTCGTCGGGCAGAAAGACTTCAGTGGTTTGTGCACCGAATTCCTGGTGTTGCCTATCCTCGACCACGTTGTTCCTTGTGTTCCCTCCTCGACCACACAGTCGCCTAAAAGGTTTTGTTAAAGTTCTTCCATGATCTTGCTGAGCTCGCAGTCTACCAGTCCAGCCGCCTGCTAACCCATTTCTTTTTGTCATTTTAGCTATATTATTAAGCATCAGTTTCTTTGCGCTTACTCTGTATACAATTGCAGCAGAATTCCCGACGAATGTATGGCGAATTATGTTAGGCATGTATTTTCCCCTTTTTATTCGGTCTTTTCTCAGTTTATCATATCAGTGTACAGTTTTCTTAGTAAGACGGCTTGCAGAATTTTTCTTAGTAACATGGCTTGTCTTTTTACTGCAAACATTTAGTGAGTTAAATTTATTAATTAAATATCATGTTTTTCCTCCTTACTCTTCATAAATTCAGTTGACCAAAGCCACCAAATATTTAAAAACAACATATCTTCAGGATTGCTGATACACAGTCTTGCGCGATGGAGATAACAATGTTTTAATCCATACATCGCTACCACTGTTCGCTTTTAAATTGTTGGATTTATTAAAAATTCATTAAAGTCTTACAAAGTAATAAATATAAAAGTGGAAATTCAAAATTCTCGCCTCCATATGCGGCATATTTAAGTCAAAAACTACATTATTCAAAATTTTACTGTCCCAGGTACCATCGTTTTCTTACAGTGCGAGAAACATAAATACATTCTTCTTATACTAATTTCACTTTCTTCATACAATTTTCTAACTGCGAGAAGATTTGAAGAAAACTTAACTAACTCAGTTTTTAATAGTTTATTCATGGAACAACTAATCAAGTGTTTTTGTTTGCCGTACCACTCCTTTAACAAATTCAAACAGGATTTATAATTTCATTTCGTAAGCGCGGCCCACCAGCGGCCGAGCGGTAACGTCGCTGAACACTGGTAGTTCGGTCCGAGGTTCGAATCCCGCAAACGGGCTGGCTGCATGGGTGTTTTCGTGGTTTTCCCCATGTGTAACGTGTATACGAGCCAGTTTCCCTTAGAAAGTCCTCCACGAAGGCATCCCTTCACTTAGGCAGATATCCCTAGTGTGCTTTGCCATAATTAAATACAACAACACAACCTTTCGTAAGCGCAAATCCCGAAACAATTTTGTAAGCACCGCCCGAAAGAAAAGATTTTAGATAAATGAACTCGTCAACATTACTTAATGACTCATTAGAGACACTAATAAAGAACTCTTGAAATGAACTAGAATCGCCATTAAAAGTTGGAATGCGTAATTTAGGCAAATTGATAGAAGATGATGTATTGCGAATATTCGAATTACAAACGTTAAAATTTTGAGATGATTTAAAATGTTTACTTTCATACCATTTTAAGTTTGTTTTAATTTTGAATTTAACATTACTTATACATTCATTATACTCGAGGGAACTTTGAATTTCTTTTCGAACATTATATTATCGTGAATTATGTCTTCGATTTTGAAGTTTAAATTTAAAAGTTCATTCTGTTTTCCCTCTAAATAAAAACTCCGACAAATTCTCCTGAACGCTTTCATCTGTATTAATATCCAGACTATCAAAATAAGAGTCAATTTAATTAATTAATTTCGTGCATGCACTTCTAATGACTTTCCTCTTGGATTTCAACTTGTCAAGTTTTCATTTTATACACGAAACAAAATTGAAAGTGACAACAATTAAAGTGATAAATAAACTATTAAATTACAAAGTTACTGTACCTGCAAGCCAAGTGTTCAAAAATTAGCCTAGTGCAATTCGAAGGAGATAATCCAAACAGTTGTCGCGGGTTTCTGGCATCATGAAAAAATAATATCATCACTAGAAAATTAAACGAGATTTTTGCATAAAGAACATGTTGTCCAGTTTTTTGTTATTTTTATTCATATCATACACAAAAACATATGAGACTGAAAAATTCAGGAATACTGGGAAAATGCTGGGAAAGAATTCAGACGACCGCAAACCCACGGTTGTCTGCTCATATCATCATTTTATTTTTAGTACCTTCTTAGCCTGCCTTCATGGTGTAGTGGCCAGCACGCTCGATGCATATTCGAGAGTTCGAGTCCCGGCGAGAGCATTGCTCAATTTTCATCTCTCCTGCTTCGAAATAAACAATTTTCATGCAACAATTGAAATAAAACTGTTTAGCAATAGTTTAAATTATTATAACATTTTTTATTATTGAAGATCACCCCACTTCTGCCACCAGGAGTTATTGATTTGTTTTGTTTATTCCTTGTAGTAAAGGAAGAAGAAGTGATTTTAAATCTTTTCTACAATGAATTTACTTTTCACTTAAGAGATATGTCAAATTAGGATTTACAAACTTATTTATAATTAATATTAATATGCCTGTCTTTAAAGGACAAAAGTACACTGTGAAATAAAAAATGGGACACTTCTGTATCTCCCGTTCTACTGGGCCGATTGACGAAATTCAATTTGCGTTTTTCATGTCTCGAAAAAGCGACTTGGGATATATATTAGATTTATATATAGCATTTATTTAACATAGGTATTTTGATACAAAATCGGACTTTTTCTGAATTAACATACCAATTTTTTTTTCCATATTTCGATTCTACATCTCAAATTATGCCTAGATTGAATTTTGTAATTTTTGGTGAGAAATTTATAGAGAAATTTAAAAACATATCTTGCGCATTTGTTTTAGCTTGCGCCAAGAATAATTAATTCACTCGGCGAATTTCTTGATTTTTAACAACCTATTTTCTTTTTCATTTTTTCATTGTACACGAGCGGAAAACGTCACTGTTCATATTTTCAAATAACTTTAACAATGTGCGTAAACCAAATTGGCCATATTATGGCTTAGAACAAATATGCGGAATTTCAAAACGCGCCAATATGCAAATTCACATATATCGTAGAAAATTTTGAATAAAAACTCTAATTTTTTGCAGGTATGCTTAGAAATATATCCAGTTTAGGATGATGATAATTTTTTTTCGAAAAATTCATGAAAATTACTTAAAAATACAAGCTTTAATAGTAAATCATAAAAAATGGGCGAATTGTATTTGGAATGAACCTAAATTTCGAAAGGAAGAAACAAAAAAGTTTAATAAAAAAGTGATATTAATAAATATATACCAAATTCTATTAACCTTGAGGAGCTATTTTTTTTTTAAAATCTACTCGTGAGATTTTTGCAAAACATGGCAATTTGGCATAATTTGAGTCGTAAAACCGAAATATGAAAAATATTGGCTACGTCATTTCAGAAAAAGTCTGATTTTTTGTCAAAATTCCTATATTAGATCGATGCTATATATAAATCTAATACATATCCTAAGTTGCGCTTTTGAGGCATAAAAAAATCAATTTGAATTTCGTCAATCGGCCTAGTAGAATAGAAGATACAGAACTGTTCCTTTTTTTTTTTTTTTTTTTTTTTTTTTTCAGTGCACATTTCTGCTCTACAGTATACCTATGGCATTCGTAACTGTTGCTATCGTGTGCTTATTTCTTTACCGTCCAATTCCTAACCAGTGGCTATGAATCTCTTCCCTTGAACATGTTAGAGGAGCGGAGTATCAGACACGACAGTCATACTGTAATTATACATAAATTAATGATACGACAGGAGTTTAGGAATTATATACACCTTGAGTTATCATACTTATAAAAGTTTGT